CGAGGAACAGCCGAATCTGGATTATCAGCCAGCTCCGGGAAGTCCAAGCGCAAAAGTTGACGAAAACAAAGAAGACTCTGACGATTCAGAAGATCCATTGGACAAATACATGGAAAATATTGAGGTATGAGCCTGATGTATACGGCTAGTCGCAGTGATATTTAGCTTTCATTGAACTATGTATTCTGATTCCGCATCCGCATTCAAAATAGGTAATTATCCTAATACACATTCGTTCTGTTATTATTATTATTATTATTGTCACATATTTTTAAACCGGTGTAACTGAAGTGTGCCTTTCAGATTGGTACACTCAATAAACCTTGCGTTCCAAATTCACACGATTTGTTCAGCCAAGCAAGCGCTTGATTCAGCCAAGATCCTTTGTATCCTCAACTTAAACTGTGTTTTGTCCACAAAAATGAAGTTGACCTCACTTTTCAGCGAAGTTCTTTGATTTCATGGAAATACTTTTCGCCATTTTTTGTCGTACAATCTGTCCGATCGGTAGATTTGTATCGATTCCATCCGACAAAAGATGGCCTAAAATAGATAACTCATCACAACACCGACTCAAATAATCTCACACTACAATCATACACTGTGTATACAGAACGCTGTTGGGTGAATTTCCGACAACGCGCAACGCACCTCCATACTGATATGCTTCAGTTGATCGGCAAATTGTCACCTTCACAACGATTAGCCAAGTGCATAAATAGACGTCCAAACGGAGCTCAACTCTCGCTCCCCCCCCCCGGGTTCCGGAGGGAATTTGAATAAAGAAGGATTATTGGATCATCCTCGCAAAATGGGTCAATTGGTTTCGTGACTGAATACATGTAGTCTCTTACGAGATAGCACTCGGTCTCCGTTTTCATGTTATTCATGTCATTAGCCTTGCAATTCCGCGTAATCCTTTCATTTGCTGTTTTTTTTTTTCGATCACCCATTCGGATGAAAGACTAGAGGAAAGGAGTACCAGATGGCAAGTAGTATCAAGGTTTTCTTATTTTACGCACTTCTAAATCCAGACTGTCTGCCAAACAAATCATGATACAATAATCTTCATGAAAAAGAAAAACATTCCACGTGTTGCATGTGGGCGAAATACGGCCAGGTTGCCCAGGCCAAGGCAGGTGAACGTTCTTGAGCAATCCACAACCGGAGCCTTCGACTAGCTAAAAACTGACCCGCAAGGCAGCGGGGCGGTGTGTGAGAACCACAGTCCATTAGGAGCCTGTGTCCAGTTCATTGGATCATACACCCTTCGGACGGGGTCAAACGTCCAAGTTGCCCAAATACACCTCGATGCTCCATTGAGCTGTTGA